ATAGAAATGCATGATCATATTAGAAGGATCCACGGAGGAGAATATTAGGCTCGCACTGGGCAGGCTCAGTGAGCTTCACCTCTGGCTTCGGTTTCTTCTGTTGTGTGTTTGCTCTTCCCTCCAGTATCCTCTCGGTCATGTGCTGCTTTTCTAAAACCTGTGTGGAATTATTTATTACAGAGAGATGCCAGGTTTATTACTTTTAAGGGCGAGAACACTTGAAATGTGGGGGAGGGGAAAGACATTGACGCTGTAATCCTGTGGTGTGATTATTTTTAATCACAGAGAGAAAGGCTGAGGTTTGTTTAAACTGAGATACAAAATGTTAGAAATAAGCTTTGGTTGTTAGGAATAGTAATTCACAGAGAGGTCTCTAGATTCACTGATCTGTTATCCCAAATCTGATAAGCAAGTCCTTTTAAAGCCCACCCTCAGAACCCAAGTACTGACCTAGTTTAAAACGTTAAAGTGCAGCTCATCCCGTCAGGAGAAAACCACTATAAGAGGATGCTCTTGGAGTTTCTTCTTCTTTATTTGTCCAGGGGGCTTCTTCTTTCCTCAGAGAGAGGGCATTAGTTGCATAATTTTGCAGGGCAACTGGCTTCTTACTCCTTTTCCATTCCTTAGTGGTGTCTCAGCTTTGCAGTTTTAGGGGGAAATGAGCTTTTGATGTGTAGTAAAAATGATAACTGATTTTAATATAAAATAGTGAATGCTGGGTATTAAACTCTTTGGCAGCAGGAAAAATAACGTGTCAGAGAGCATTAGTTTTCAAAACCTGAAATGAAGTGGCTTAACTCATCAACAGAAGCCCCGGCAATGCAGCTTAAGAGGAGGGGGCCCAAAATAGATTGGTGGGCGGTATGGGGAGGGGTATCTGGGGCTGTATTTTTCCATGCATAGGTCTTCAAAAGTTTGATGCATGGCCCAGATCTTTTGTTTCTAGGCTAGGGCCTTTGTCAGTGTTTGGTCCTAATGCTGGAGTGCTTTCTTCCTGTTCCTCTGTCCTCTGCCAGGATCCTTGGGGCTGCAGTAGGTGCTTGGTAGCCCAGAAAGAAGTGCTGGCGGAGGGCAGGCAAGTTGACAAATTCCTGTGCAGCACCTTCTGTATCAGGACTGCTCTGGTGTTGAGAATCACTGTTCTTCGAGTGCCAAATTCCCCTTTAGAAACGGGCTGGGTGTGGTGGCTCACCCTGTAATCCCAGCACTTTGGGAGGCAGAGGCAGGAGGGTTGCTTGAGCCCAGGAGGTAAATAAATAAAAATTGCTGGACATGTCCTGTAGTCCCAGCGGCTTGGGAGACTAAAGTGGGAAAATTGCTTGAGCCCAGGAGGTTGAGGCTGCAGTGAGCTCTGTTAGACCCACTGCACCCCAGTCTGGGTGACAGAGCCAAATTCTGTTTTGGAGAGAACAACAACAGAACCTTGGCCAAAGCTATGCACAGAAAAGACGAGAGAAAGTTGGGGAGGAGCTGTATTTCCAGGCTTTGCATTCTCAAGCAAAAGTACAGGTTCCGTGATTTTCTGCCACTGTTTTCTCTCATCACGACTCCCTGCTGGCTTCCTTTTTGCTGTTCTTCTCTGTCCCGATTGTGAAAGAATTTGGGCTTCTGGTGGAGTTGTGCCACTGTCACTCTCTTGCTCACAATACTTCAGTAGCTCCCAGTTGCCCTCGTACCTGGATCCCAACTTATTGTGCTAATGTTTTCTACTGTCTCCTGCAGAATCTTTCCTCTGGCCACGCAGCTTCCAGGCTGACCTCTCAGTGTCTGTCTCAGTAGAGTCTTTACCTTTTGGCTTTTACTCAGACTCCTTGCCTGAAACGCTCTTCTCCCCACCATCCACTAGATGCTACTTTTGGATGGATCATGAGTGGGGAATTGCTGTTGGTTGTGCACTAGAGTGTGGTGGCTGAAGCCGAGTGAGGAGGCAAATACGGAAGCTGATGGTGTGTCCGAGTCACCATGTTTATAGAGAGGTTATCCTTTAGTTAACTCAGGCACGGGTTTAGCTTGTGTATAAATGCATATTTAGCATAGGTGGTCCCCTGTAGGAGATACAACTGGGGATTCAGCTTTTTTTAACCTAACATGTATGAGTATTGCCCTATATCATTAGCCCCCATAGTGTGTGTGTGTGTGTGTGTGTGTAGTTTGTTTGTTTTGAGACAGGGTCTCACTTTGTCACCTGGGCTGGAGTGCGGTGGGAAGAATGATGCTCACTGTAGCCTCCACCTCTTGGGCTCAAGTGATCCTCTTGCCTCAGCCTCCTGAGTAGCTGAGTACTAGGTCCTGTGTGCTACTATGTCTAGCTAATTCACTTTGTAGAGATGGCGTCTTGCAATATTGCCCAGGCTGGTCTCGAACTCCTGGGCTCAAGCTGTTCTTCTACCTCAGCCTCCTAAAATGTTGGGATTATAGGCGTGAGCCACCATACCTGGCCTCTGTGTGTGTGTGTGTGTGTGTGTGTGTGTGTGTGCGTGTGGGCTCAAATGTTGCTTCTCCATTTTTGTTCTTTTAATGTATGGTCTGAGGATACCTGCCTTTACAATTTTCTGGAGTTTTCTTTTTTCTTTTTTGTAGAGATGAGGTCTTGCTATGTTGCCCAGGCTGGTCTTGAACTCCTGGACTCAAGTGATTCTCTTACCTTGGCCTTTCAAAATACTTTAGTGGATTATAGGTGTGAGCCACTGTGCCTGACCTGCCTGGTTCTTGCTAAATTTGAAGATTCCTGGGCCCTACTGCAGACCCAGAGAGGAGTCCAGGAGAAGACCAGGGCACACTGATATGATTCTGAGGCCCGTGTGCACCACAGCCCCACTTCTAGCCCCTGGAATTCGTAGACTGCCCCACGTGTCTGGGGCATGGTGGCAGGGGCTAGTTGTGGCCAGGTCAGGGTTGGGTGGGCAAGTAAGGGCTGCCAAGGAGAATCTGGATTCTTAAGAGGAGTTGGCTGGGCTGGGAGTGGTGGCTCACACCTGTAATCCCAGTGCTTTGGGAGGCTGAGGCAGATGGATCACAAGGTCAGGAGATCTAGAGCATCCTGACTAACATGGTGAAACCTTGTCTTTACTAAAAATACAAAAAATTAGCCGGGCGTGGTGGTGTGCTCCTATAATCCCAGCTACTCAGGAGGCTGAGATAGGAAAATTGCTTGAACCTGGGAGGTGGAGGTTGCAGTGAGCTCAGATCCTACCACTGCATTCCAGCCTGGGTGACAGAGTGAGACTCCATCTCGGGGAGTGGGGAGGAGATGGCTCCATGATTACCTGGCCAGAGACTGACCAGGACTGTGGTGTGGTGAGGGAGCCTTTGCTACTGTCCTCAACTAGTCTTCGGGCCTTGCAGAGGTCCATGGCCTTCACAAATGCTTTCTGCCCTTGACTCTGTTTTATCTTTTAATGGTACATGTTGGAGCCATGGCTAGAGTGCCCCAAATCTTGTTTTATGTCAAATGCCCTCCAAGGCAGACGACCTGCAGTTTTAAATCATGTACTTATGTGACATGATGCCTGCTTTGGGGTCTCCAGAGTCAGAGGGGGTGCATGTGTGTGTACATGTTGATATTTTTGGGCAAAGGGTTATTCCACCTGCAGAGACCATGTGTCCTCCAGCCTCGAGGCCTCCCTTGTGCCTGTAGAGATTAGCTTCATCACCTCCTGTCTTCCGGTTTTAGATTGTATCTTAGAGCTGAGCATGGGGTATGCCAAGGCCCTTAGGACGCAAAGGATGAAAGAACAGTGGGATTGTGAGGGTGCTTCTGCGGGGAGCCCCAAGGCCCAGACAAATTCGAGCCAGACAAGAGCCAGGCGGACTTGCAAGATGTGCCCCCAAGCTGCAAACCTGCTTCTCCCTCCGCCCTGGCCTTCCTTGTGTTTCATTTGTATCCTGCTGCTGATCTGATTTCTTTTTGCATTGTGTAAGGTTCTTAGTAGATACCTATTCCCTGAAATTAGAGATGAATTAGACGCGAGAGAGAAAGACCTGGCTAAAGTGGAAATGAGAAGGAAATTGACAGTTCAAAAACACGTTGTGGTAAAAAAGAAGCATAACATAAAATGTATGACTTTAACCATTGTAAGTGCATAGGAGAGTGGCGTTAAGTACATCTGCATCCCCACCATCCATCGCCAGAGCTCTTTCATCTTGTTAAACTGAAACTGTGTCCATTACTGTTTGTCCTCCTTCCCTCCAGCCCTTGGCAATCTTTATGATTTTGACTACTCTAGGTACCTCAATCAGTGGAATCATACAGTATTAGGTTTTTTTTTAAAGTTTACATTTTTCTGCGTTGATATTTTAAGTAAACCCAGTAAGTGAAGAAGGGGAGAAGGAACTTGACTTGCCTCTCCTTTGGAAGCCATCTTCCTCCTCCCTTCTGCCTGTCCTTGTTGCCCAGAGTGCTGGGCAAGTGTGCTGCTAATCCTGTGTAGAATGGGCTGACAGCTGGGGGCTCTCGAAGTTTGCTTCCAGCTGTTCTGGGGCTTTAGTGTTTTCTCTGGAAGGAAGGTGAAGCAGGGTTGCCAGATAAAATACAGGCTGCCCAGCTGAATTAAATCTCACATAAACAGTCTATCATTTTTAGTATAAGTATCTTCCAAAGACTGCATGGGAAATACTTATACTGCAGAATTATCTTTGGTTTACCTGAAATTCAAGTTAAACTAGATGTCCTGCAAATTTGCTTGCTAAATCTGGGTAATCCAACGGTGAACATGAAATACAGCCACTCACTGGTAAAAGGCGATGCATTTGGCTAGAAAGATCTTGGGAGATGAGCAGATTTGATGGTGCAGAGAAAGAGGTGATTTGGCATTGTCAACCTGTTTTTTGGTGGACTGTTAACTTGGACCCTAAAAGTAGGATTGGAAACGAGCTGCGTAGGCTCCTGTCCTTTGTGTCTTCAGAGAAGCAAGCAGCTAGTGCTGGCTGATGAGAATATGATCTGCACATGGGAGGTGGCAAAAGCGTCCTCTAATACAAGGCCCTTTCTTCCTGTGCAGGTGCTGAGTTACCTGACTGCTACCAGGGACTGGAGGACAGTTCTTGAAGAGTCACCCAGAGCCAGCTGCTTCTCTGCCCCTGGCCGTGGTTTATGTTGACTGATTGCAGCAGCTGCTGAGAGGTGGTTTTATGTCGTGTGAGTAACTGAAACTTGACTCTAAGTTTTCCTCTTACCCCTTCCTGTTTAATGAACAGTCAACTGTCCTCGAATAATTTTTTGGTGGTACTTCGATTCATTCCCCGTGAGAGAATTCACCAAAAATGCATCTACACTGAGTAAGTGAGGCCAGCATTGAATCCGTCTCTCTGTTTTTTGTGTGGCTGCTTTTCACTTACCTCCTCCCCGTTGGATCTAGGCTCCTGTGGCTGTTTGCGTTCTCCTCGGTGTTTTCGAGGACATAAAACGATAGTTCTCAGGGTTTGCAAACAGTGTGAGCCCTTCCTGCAGCTGTCGGTGGGTAGGTCGGTAAAATCAGTTTTGCTGTGCTTGTCCACAGGCCAGGCCCACCGCCAGGTGCCGGTGGCTGATCCCTGGCTGCCTGTTCGGGAATCTGAGTGGCTGGCTGCTACAAGGGCCTCTGTGGCTTGGAGGAGATGGACACACGCGATGCGGCCTTCAGAGCCGTGGTAGACGTGCTTTATTTTGGGGTTTTGAAGCCCTAGCACTTAGTGGCTTATTTAGGCCTTTTTCTTCCGCTAAGGGACTCAATGATGTTGGATGACTCAACTCTGATTGTTGTCTGAATGTTTCTTTTCCACTGATGTCAGTTTATAGAGCAGTCCTCAAGCAAATGTTTGTGCGGGAAGGAGGCAGAAAGGGAAGGAAGAGGCCACGGGGCACTTCAGAACCCCAGGAATGGGCTTCAACTGCTGCCCCCCACACCGGGGAGGCCACGCCCTGACTTTTAATGCCCGGTGCTTTTACTTCCAGACTCACTGGAAGGGTCTGGTTGAAGCTGGAATGAATGGCACCTGAGGGCTGGCTCCTGCTGCAGGCCTTCTGGTTCTCTGACTCGGTTCTCTGTGAGGACTTTGGGATGCCAGGTGGGGGCACCCTCATGACGTATGGGATTATTTTTAGGTCTGGTCATTAGGGCTGGGTTGTCTGACAGATGCCTTAGAGCAAATCTGTCAAGAAGTGGGGTATAGCAACAGCCCCTGTGCCCCATCACTTCCATGAGTCTCCCTCCGACTCATCTCTTAGGACTTCAGCTTGACACAGGGGTTGAGGGAGAAGGTGAGGGCATGGGCAAGAGGGAGGGTTTAGTTTTGAGCAGTTAGGTCCAGCTCCCTAGTTGGCCTTAGTCCCTGGAAAACTGGCTTCCTTCATTCAGCCCTTTAGAGGAGTGGCCCGGAGTAGGCCTAGCAAAGACTGAACTCCTTGGCATGGCTTCCAGAGCATTCTTCCCAAGACCCTGACTTCTGCTGACCCTGTGACATCAGGGCAGGGTGGGGACAGAAGAGACAGACACTATCATCCCCCAATCCCAAGTCCCTCCACACAGCCCATTCCTCACTTTTTCTCCCCACTAGGGGGGCTGACAGAATCAAACTTGTGAAACATAGGACACAGGGGTTTTGTGGTGGGCAGTTATATCTGTTACTAAGTACGAGGAATTTGAGCAAAGGAGGGAGAAAAATAGCTTTTTAAAGAGAACCATCATATTCAACGGACTCCTCTTTTTTGAGGGTCTGTCATGGGCAAAAGATTGTGGCTCCTCCTGAGAGTGATACAGAGGCAGTGAGCCCCTGACTGCCTGCAGGACTGTGTGGGTAGATGGGGAAACAAAACCCCTGCAGTTTCCAGGTCAGAAGAGAGGTACACCATGGAGGGGACGTGATGGGCAGCTCGGGAAGGGGTTCTTGGAGGCGCACGTCGGCCGTGCCTGCAGCAATCTGCAGAATGTCAAGGGAGCCGGTGTGAGAGAGTGTTCTGGATGGGAGATACTGAGTGAACCAAGACAAGAAGATGGACCCGCACAGTGGGACAAAGTCAGATAGCACAGGGGTTGTTAAAAGACTGGGGCTCTGCACTGTATGGGGGGTGATGTTTTTGTTTGTTTTTTAAACCACTGGCCTAGTGCCAGCTGTGAGCTGTCTGTTGCCTTTTAGAAAGAGTAACCTACACCTTGTTCCTGCTCTTTGACTTCTGCGGTTACCACCACGCCAGAGCGCCACTCTGGAAGGCCTCCAGCAACCCTCTGGTGGCCAGATCTCACAGTTAGTTGCCAGGTGCCCTGCTCGGGGCTGCCCGTCATGGGTCAGTGCTTATCGTCCTCTGACACCGTCTCTCCCTTTTGCCTCTGGGACTCCATATGCCTTGATGGGCCCTTTTCCAATCCCCCTCTGCTGTCTCCCCTGACTCGGACACACCTCCCTTCCCCAGCGTCCCGTCCTCAGAGCCATTACCCCTCCTCCGCCGCCACCACCTGTTCTCTGTGCCCGAGCTTTACCTCTTGGCCAGGTTCAGGGCGTCCGGCTGACACTTTGTGTTTGCAGACCAGTGCGGCCAGCCCTGCTCCTGGGGTTTACAGGTCTGCAGTTGTGAACCCCAGAAACACAAAGAACTAAAATTCATTCCACAGACATCTATTAAGAACCTACTGGGTGACAGAGTATTACTCTCTTTTTTTTTTTTTTTTCTTTGAGATGGAGTTTTGCTCTCGTTACCCAGGCCGGAGTGCAATGGCGCGATCTCGGCTCACCGCAACCTCCACCTCCTGGGTTCAGGCAATTGTCCTGCCTCAGCCTCCCGAGTAGCTGGGATTACAGGCACGCGCCACCATGCCCAGCTAATTTTTTGTATTTTTAGTAGAGACAGGGTTTTACCATGTTGACCAGGATGGTCTCGATCTCTTGACCTCGTGATCCACCCGCCTCGGCCTCCCAAAGTGCTGGGATTACAGGTGTGAGCCACCGTGCCCGGCTTACTCTGTCTCTTAAAAAAGGAAGAACCTTACTGGATCAAGCCCCCAGAGAGACAAGTGACAAGTAACAGCCCTGGGTCATCCGGTGGGTACCTGCTGCTTCTCAAGCCTTCCCTTTCCAAGGGCCTCTTCACTGGAAAGCTCTGAGTCGGATCTAAATCTCCAAGAAGGCCAAATCCTTTGTCCTTTTCTATGACATCAAACTTCTCATCTCTCAGCCTCCTGCTTCCTAGCAATTTGACCAAAGGTGAAAAGCGTTCCGTCGGCTCCTTGCAGCTGCCTGAGCCATGCGGAAGGTGGAGGTGCACTTGAGCGAGTCCTCCCACTGTTTGCAGTGCAGGGCCGTAGCTGAGGCGTTTGTGTTCCCTGGCTACGCGTCTTGTGCAGGTGACTTTGAATTTGACACCCCTGTCACATAACCAGTGCCTGAAAACCCTGAAACGATTCTTGGTATTCATAATTCACATTGGGTAGGCTTAGGTAGTATTTATAGCACTCCCAAAACAAGTTACTGCCAAGGGAGGTACTGCCGCTTATCAGGGCCTGTGTAGGAGACACAGAGCTGAGTAGACTCTTTCTCTGGCTAATTTTAGATTCCCAGTTTTGGGGTTGGGAATGTCACATAGATAGGATGCTTTCAGAGGCTCTGATCTCCCTGAGACTGCAGGTATAGAGGTTCTGCTGCCAGTTCTGTTCCCTGGGGCTTACTGTTCATCCGTTGTCTCACTGCACGGCTTCTCCCTGGTTCTGTCCGCTTCTGCTGCCTTGTGGCAGAAAAGGGGGGTTCAGGGCTCCCTGACGTTCTGGCATTAGGTCGCCAAGCTGTGGGATGGGGATTCAGGGTGGGGGAGGATTTGACAGTAGGGCACCATGCCTCACAAGCTACTTTTTACAGCATGTGAATGCTTGACTTACTGTTTAGTTTGCCCGTGGCCCTGTCTACCCTTGGTCAAGGGGAATCTCCCTGGGGAAGGTATTAGTCAGCTCAGGTTGCTATTGCAAAATGCCATGGACTGGATGGCTTAAGCAATAGAAATAAATTTTTTCACAGTTGTAGAGGCTGGAAGTCTGAGATCAGGGTGCTAGCATGGTTGGGTTCTGATGAGGGCCTTCTTTCTGGCTTACAGGCAGCTGCCTTCTGGCTGTGTCTCACATGACAGAGTGAGGGAGGGAGAACATGCGAGCGTGCATGCACAAGCAGGCTGTCTGGCCTCTCTTCTTAACAGGGCACTTAACCCCATCTGGAAGGCTCCACCGCTGACCTCATCTAAACCTAGTTCTCCCCCAAAGACCCTGTCTCCAGCTCCATCCCCCTGGGGGTTAGGGCTTCAGCAGAGGACTTTTGAGGGGACATGATTGAGTTCATGGCAGGGGTTCTTGGAGGTTTTGGAGCTGCAGATTCTTTGACGCAGAGGCTGGTTATTGCAGAGGAACGGGGCCCTGTCTTCCTTGGGGGTCAGACCTCCAGTAAGCACCTTTTCCAGTGACCCAGGGAGAATCTTTCAGGGAGAGAGGGACAGCATTCTGGTGGCAGAGCAGGGAGCTGGCTGGTTTGTGTTGCTGTTTTCCTGTCTAGATGATGAAGCCGCGGCCAGCGGAGGGACTTGACAAAGGGGAGGGAGGGGTGCGGGAGGGTGCGTAGGAAAAATGCTGCACCTGCGTGGGAGCTGGTTGGCAGGGGAGGGAGCCTGGGGGCTGGAGGGAATGTGAAGTACCATTTTGCCCACTTCACTGCTTGGCTTCAGGTCCCCTCTCCTGTGTCACCTCTTGCAGTGAGCACCTAGAACGGATCCTGCGGCGTTTCTCCTTTGTGTCGCTTGTCATGACTCATGTTACCTTGTGTAATTAGCCATGGTTTGGAAGTTTGGGATGGTTTGGAAGCAGCTCTGCCAGAAAACCGGAAAGAAATGTTTTCCAGTTAACAGTGACATGATGGTCAGATCTGATCAACGGTCCCTCATCCATAGTTGTTGGGCCTTGGCATCCCCTTCTTGGGATTCTGAAGTTTTTGTATGAGTCAACAATAGAGCCTTTATTGCTGGTGGCTCTCGGAGTGCCGCCTCTGCAGTGGTGTGGGCATCTCATTGGTGGGAGCTAGGGCTTATGTAGCGACGGCCAGGGGGGACAAGGCTTACTCTTGTTCCTGGGCCTTTTTCTAGCTTCTCTCCATGCTAAAGGCCAGGTGGGGTCACCCCTCCACCCCTGCTGC